TATATGTATATGTATATGTATATGTATATGTATATGTATATGTATATGTATATGTATGATCAACAGTGTCAGCTTTTTGCCTTCAGAAATACTATCCCCTCCCAAAAACGCTGTTTTGCTTTTTAAATGGAGGGTTTGGAGGTGAATCGAAAAATACGGCCCAAAATGTGAAGTATGTTGTGTAYTGTGATGTGTAATGAAGAGGCTGTGTTCAAGCATGTGAATAATGTTATGGGGGGAGGGAGGAGGTTCTAGCTCAGTAATTTGCTAACAAGTTTGAGTTAAATTTACAAGTTCTCTTGGTCCTTGTCAGTGCTTAGTCCAAAATCAGTGCAGGGGTGTCAGGATACATCCATTGCCTGTGGTACAGTGTATTTATTCCCATTGCACAACCCTGCAGGACCTCCCTGTCCTTCATTTATACAGAATGCATCTGTTAAACCCATAACTAATCCCAAAAAATCCCTGTGTCATTGTGTGTGTTYCTTGATTTGCTGAAAAACGAGTGTAGAAAAAAGCTGACTGAAGCAGAGCCTCTTTTTTATTCCTCAACCTACCAAGCTCAGGTTGGGTGGARGAAATGATTGGCCTAGAGATGCCTGCCTGAGTGAGACATTTCTGGCTGCTGAGTGTGAATCACTTTCAGACAACATGTCAAGACATACCTGCCAGTGTGAGCGTACCCAGTCTGCCCATACCTCCACCTCTCCCACCTACCAATTGTTCAAATAATTGTCCATCAGTCCTGGGGATGTGTGGAACAAGGTAAAGACCAGCCTACAAATGCTGTGTCATCCAAACTAAATGGTCTTTGCTGTTAAAAGATCAATATTCCTTTTTGCTGCTGTCTCTTTTTCCTGACAATCAATTTCATACCAACGTCGCATAGTAATTGTTTTAATCTTTCCAAAGTATATGCTCATCTGTGATCCTTTCTCTGCAAATCCCCTGACACTCTTAAAACTGATTTGAGTGTTTAATTTTCAGACATAGCTTTCCCTCATTGTAAGTCTTTTCATTACTGCTTTTTCATGGAAGCCATGCAAAGAATGTTAAAGCAACATACAGTGTTGGCTGGTAGTCTGCTGACATACCTCACAGTCTGGCACTGGCCAGCAAGACACTTGCTTTCCTTCCTCTGCAAGTCCTAGCTTGACTTTCATGTTTGACAAGCATAAAACTGTGCTACTAAGCCTGATGCAARTCTTTTCTAGCTTCTAAGTTTTACTATACTAATTTCTTTAAGCTTATGTTTATTTTRCTTGAAAATTTTGTTTTAAGATTGAATAATTATTCTACATTTTAGACTCTGAGCTGGATTTTGCATTTTGCCACGATCTTTTCACATTTTTGAAAAATATCTGCTCTGGATGCAGTTTTGTCTGGGTTGATACTGCTAGAAGGAGGCAGAGTGCAGACAGGTGTGCTTTTTGATTTATCCTGTGTTAGATTTTAGTTGTAGACAATTTAGTTGTAGACCTCAGATGTCTTTACTGTTTTCCAGGCTGTCAATGTTTTCTGCCATACAAAATTGGAGAGGGATTTTGTTATATGCACGGTAGTGTCTGCTCAGGACATGACCCAGCTTCCATTGAAATCAATGGAAAGTCTTCCACTTGTTTCAGTATGTGTTGGATCAGGTCTGGAGTTGTGATCACAACTTCATTTCACTGTGGACACAGTGAGTCGTAAACTAAAGCATTCAGAATTTAGAGGCAAGGGGATTTATCCTGTCTTTTGAAAAATTACCTCTTCCCCGCCCTGCTTTGACATTGACAAGAAAGGGGTAATTATGCTGAGGCAGTGAGCACAAAATCAACAAGAAAAATMGCGCTGCCCTGGTCTCTAAGGAAATTTCAGTCTAAATTCTCACATTTTGCTCCTATCAGATGTAACTTATGTGCAGCAATCACGGTTGGCCAACAAACACATTTTTCTACAAAACYTTTTCTGAAGCTTGCAACTGTAGACCTTAATCAGACACAGCCCTGTTTGAGTTATTGACTGAGGTTAATCAAGGACACACAGATTTGCTTGTCTAGAATGGCTTTCAGGCTCATAACCTCAGGAGAACATGAAACCTCCAGGTTTTATTGTAGRTACATTTCAAATTCATGTGATTTGCCACGTGGCATTTTCATATCAACAKCAACCCAGTAAAACATAGCTGCCTCAGCTCCAGAAAGGTAGCCATAAGGAAAACATCCAGTGTCTGCTTCATTACCATCACTTCTTTGCCCATCAGTTGTTCCAGGAGCTCCTGAGATGCAGTGACCACATKGGTCAAGACTGCCCCCTCCCCATTGTCCACTGTGTCACCTGCCACCTGGGCACAAATCTCGCTTGCCAGACAAAGAGAGCCAGTTCATTAGAGAGGTCAGAGCTGGTTGTTTCAGCCAGCTTGTTGTGTGGGTGTTTCTCTAGGTCACGCAGCTGGCTGCCCGTTCTCTGGCTCAGAGTGTAAAAATTACCAGCAGTGATCCTAGACTGGGATTTTTAGAGGAGAATCTGTTCCATTTGGATTCATTACTGGGCTTTCTTTTTCACTTCTTTTACAGACCCAACCTTAGCTACACTCTGCTTTTATTTTCTCCAGCATGCCTTGCCCTTCTGCTTCTTTCCCCTTCAAGACCAAATTTTGGGGATAGACAAGAAGGGCAGGGACAATCTTAAGGTTCTTTGTRGTGCTCAGCTGATATCAGAAGAGARAAGARGTTTTCCTTGAGTATATTTTGCCATTTCCCATTTGGAATAGGCCATTCMCTGTATAAGGTGAAAGGGGAGCACTTGAAACAGCTCCCTAGAGCTCTTGAGGCAAAGCTGTGCTCATGCTGTTAAATACAGAATGTGGTTTTTAATCCTTTATTATCTACTACATGAAGTTTCTTCCTTTTCTGCTCTCTGGATATTAAACCTTCCTCACTCTTGTTCAACCCTCTGTTGGCCTCTGTCTCAGGGACACTTCACAAAATAGGTAACAGTCATCAGCGCGGTTTGCAGTTGTGGCCAAAGTGTTTATTTTTAAGGTAACTTCTAATAGTGTAGATTTGAATATGACATCACTGCAAACGGGTRAGAAATCCTGGCACAGAAAGGTCCAAACAAAAAAATCCTACTGACTGCATTGTGGCCAGAACTTAATGTCATTCATCATCTTGCATTTTCTCCAAGAAACAGAGCAAGAGTTATGCTGTTTGGCATTGCTGAAGCCACTCAACAGGTGGTAGTTCTCAGTTATGAAAAAAAGAAAAGTTTGAAGTGAGAAAGAGAGCAGAAATAATGCAGGTGGTATCTGAGGGCTGGAGTATTGCTTGCCACATGCTGTGTTCACAGAGTTTCACACTTACTTCTGTACTATTTTCCACAGAATGATTTTCAGGGAGGCCCAATAACAGATTGTCCTATGAAAAATGTGATGGTAGGGGGAAAAAAATTCATGTGGTCAAGAAAGTCAGTGGGAAGAAGAAAATGCTTTTTCTAAAAAAAATTCTATGAGGATATTTTAACAGTAACCTCCTTGGCCTGTTTTGGAGTACTCAGCACATTGAGATGCCTGTGTATTTGAAGCTGTCAGGGTTARTGTCTTAAAAACTAACTGCACAGCGGGAAGACAATCAGGAGGTGTCGTAYCAGTGCTTATTTAAGAGCAGAACTGCATGTTGTTAATTCTTTTACTTCAATCATATTTGAAAAAGAAGGGCACAGTTAAGGGGAGGATAACCTCCTCACCTGGCAGCACAAACTGCTGGGGTGATGGAGGAGTGACAAAGCTATGTTTAGAGAAATAAGTCTCTTACTCTGGCAGGCTCTTTGCCTGTGTGTGTCAATCCCYGTCCTTGACTGCAGAGGAGCAGCATGAGGTCAGGTGCAAATATAACAGCGTTCATCTCRGGAAGAGGTGATGACTTTTCAAAATAAACAGAGTGTGGGCAGGGCACGCGTGTCTGACTTATCTCAACTACTTTTTAGTTGTTTTAGGATGTATGATTGTAAAGGAAAAAACAGTGGTGTCTGACCTATCAAAATCATATCATCCATCCGTTCTGTGGTCATTGTGGTGACTCAATAGGCTAAGTATTGAGCTGCCCTGAGCAACTGCAAATTTGTTTCCCAGACTTGGTTTTGGGAGTAGTTTGGGAGTTTAATGCTTAGGGGAATGAAAGACTGTCATGGGTAAAATTTTCAGAATTGGTCTAGTTGCTCAGGAACCCAAACCCCATTTCTTAAGATTGTATAGAGACTTGTGAGACCCTTAATTTGCCGT